GAGAGAGAGAGAGAGAGAGTGTTGGAGAAGAAAGAAAGAAAGAAAGAGAGGAAGGCGCGGTTGTTGGAGGGATTGTGTTAATAAAGACAAAGGGGGATGCAGGGGAACAACTATTGACGTCTGAGTTAAATTTCTAGGTCTTTGGTGGTTAATTTGGTTGGCTTTTTTGTCTCTTCTGTTTCACTGGTTTACCTCCTTTAATTACATAAAAACCTTTTGTAATAATACTGGTATTTCAAGTACAATCACAGCCAAATCAAAATAATAAGGTTACTGTAAAAAGCCTAGACACATCTTCCGTTACTTGCGTCTTTTATCTCCCTTTACGGGTAGCTATTCATGTCATCCAACAAAACCAAAAATAATTACCGTATTTATCTGCTAAACCATTTTTCCATTTTAAGTATTCACATAAAAATATCAACATAATTTTTTTGACTTACATAAAAATTCATTAAATCAACACCTTCATCAAATAAACTTCACTAAAAGCTATCATTTTTAAATGATTAAGTTAACAATAATTCTAAGTATTCATTAAGAATGGTTAAAATATTGTTTTAATGAAGAATTTTTAGGTTTAAGATACTGCGTTTCATTAAATTTAAAAGCAAATACATTAAATATAGTGTTTTTCTTGTAAAAATCATCCTAATCAAGTTTGTTTTTTTTATTATCTAGGGTGATCCGTCATTCTCTGACTTGTTCCTTTGCTTTATGCTTTAAAGGCAAAGTTAGTAGGAAATGTACATTTTTGTTTTTAGTTTTGTGTTTTCGCATATTTACCAAACCAGAACAAAAATAAAAATAAAAATTTATTGTTTTAGTTACGTAGTAAGTGAAAAAAACATAGCTCTGCAAAATTAGGTCAAGCCTTTGACCGAAAAAAGAAAGGAGGCCCAGCTCGAAAGGCCAGGACACTGTGAATTTCATAGCAAGAAGCCAAGAAACTCTATGATGACACCATTGCCCATTTCCAGCTCCTTGTCTCCGTACATTCTACACGTGTCATCTTCATATTTCATTGGACCACTGGTGGGACCATCTGGGAGAACGAACCACATCCCTTCACCTGTCCGTTGCAGGCTAACCAGGGACCGCTGCCAGCAAAAGAAAATAAATATTTATTTTTATAAATTAACAACTCGATTTTCTATATTCAATCACTGGTTTATATTAATGACATTTCAAGGCATTTTCTCACTTTAATTAAATATACAATAATGATTTCTGATTTTCCCAAATAGCGGCTTGATTAATCTTTTGTATGTCAAATACTGAACCCACTATTTAATTTCAAAACTTCACCTAACCTTGACTAACTAGTGCTATAGGTAAGTTAAATTGGTTTAAGTAGCAATGACTAAGCAGTTTTGGGGCACTATTAAATTAAATATGAGTTTATATTCTGTCGGTAGGAGGAAATAGGAATCATTCAAAATTACATGTTGCAACAGCTACTGGTTGAATGAAGCCAAATAGATTGAGGAGCCAAAGTCATTCATTGCTGAGTTTGAACTTTGAAACCCATTAAAGTTGACCCAAATGGTCCCGGCTTGCCCCCTCTTGCTCAGCATAGCTTGAACAGCTTTTTGCTACCAACATCCATCCATCAATAATGAAAAATTCCATGTATCTTACACTACAAGTCGAAGGATCTGACTAAGAGACCACCTTCTCTATATGTAATAGATACGCCATTTGATATGCTCAAGATTTTTCTGGTAAAGTGTGGGATGACATGTCTAATGGTTTTTGGTAATTAAACATTCAACATTTTCTAACCTTGAACTACCCTGATTAAGCTCCAAGTTCCCTCGTGATGTCAACATGGTGTTCAAGCTTTGTCAATTCGATGCTAAATAGTTTATTGTTAATAACATAGATTTTAATAATTTACTCTATTCATTGATGTTTAATCAGTTTAACGGGTACTTATAAATACTTATTCAGGAAGATAATATATATTAATTATAAATATCATTTTAATAAATATTTATGAGTTCTTTTTAACTTTTATA